GGAATCCCTCAACAAGGCACACAATACAGCAGTTGGACCAGACAAAATTCACTATCAATTCCTAAAAGAATTACCCAAACCATCTAGGAATTACCTCCTACAAATCTACAATAGTATATGGAAGAGTGGCGACATCCCTAAAATATGGAAACAAACTACATTTATACCAATACCTAAACCTATGAGAGACAATACAAATGCAAAAAAAATACAGACCCAATTACTCTTAGCAGTTGTGTCTGTAGAACACTAGAGAGAATGATAAATGCCAGATTGATCTGGTATCTAGAAAGTTAACAAATTAATAATTGAATATCAATCTGGATTTAGAAGTCAAAGAAATCCTATGGATCATCTGATCCGTTTTGAAACATTTATTAGAGAGGCTTTTATTAAAAAAAGGAGCATCTAGTGGCAGTTTTCTTTGATCTTGAAAAGGTATATGACACAATGTACAAGTACAGCATAGTAAAAGACCTTAAAAAACTTGGGCTAGAAAGTCGAATACCAATATTTATCAAAGATTCCTGCAAGAGAGAAGATTCAGAGTTAAAATATGAGATATTTTCTCTGAAGAAAAAGAACAAGAAATGGGTGTACCTCAAGGCAGTGTATTGTCAGTTACGCTGTTTAATATCAAAATAAATGATATTGTAAAAAAAAAACATAAATAGTGCAACAAATTGTGCTTTGTATGTGAATGACTTCCTGATATGTTAAAGAGCAAGAAATATGAACCATCTAGAAAGAAAACTCCAGATATGCCTTGATAAGTTCAACAAATGGACCACAGAGAATGGACTAAAATTTTCAACAGAAAAAAACGAAATGTGTCCACTTCTGCAACCAACATAATCTCCACCTTGACCCAGTACTGAAAATTGACCATGCTGAAATTCCAGTTGTAGAACAATACAAATACTTAAGAGTCATTTTTGACTGCAAACTCTTTTATTCCTCATATTAAATACTTGAGATCCAAATGTAATAAAGCTATACAATTACTTAGAACCATAGCACACACTGATTGGGGAGGAAGCAAAGAAACATTATTAAAATTATATTGCTCTCTTATCAGATCAAAACTTGATTATGTCTGCTTTATATATGGAGCAGCCAGAAAAACATTTGAAAGAACTTGATACTATACACCATCAATGACTTAGACTATATGCCCTTGGAGCATATAGCACCTCTCCTGTTGAAAGCTTATACACAGAAGCAAATGAAACATCTCTTAAACTAAGTTGTGAAAAACTTGCTCTCCAATACTACCTAAAACTATCATCATGTCCTCTAAACCCAGTTTACAGTAATACTTTCCAACCACAATACACAGAATTTTTCCAGCAAAAAGAAAAATCCATCAAACGTTTCAGTTTACGTATTAAAAACATCATAGGAGAAAACCTGATAGATACAACAAAAATTAACAAATCGATTATTTCATTTACACCCCCTTGGATCATAAACCAACCTAAAATAATTTTAAACCTTAGAAGATATCCAAAATTCAAAACAAGCCCTATTGTATACCAGTCTGAAATACTGAATATTAAAAATAACCACTCAGACCATCTTTATATATATATATAGACGGTGCAAAAAGTGAAAATGGAGTAGGATGTGCTACCATACTAAAATGGAATAAGCAACAGAAGAGAATTACAAACATAGCTTCAATATATAGTGCTGAAATACTTGCTATTAATTTAGCATTTGACATAATAACCACAACCCTCCACAATAAATTCATAATTTTCACAGACCCTTTATCTGTATTTACTGCATTAAAAAATAAAAATGTTAGTGACCCTTTAACCACACAAGTACTAAACAGAATCTACCATTGGTCTAAAAATAAAAAAATAATCTTTTGTTGGATTCCAAGCCATCTTGGGATACCGGGAAATGACAAGGCGGATTTGGAGGCAAAAAAAGCCTTGAAGGATGCAATAACAAACACAAAGGTTCCATACTCTGATTATAAGACGGTTGTAAAGAAAATTATCATTAAAAATGGCAACATCATTGGAATGCATTCATTAATAACAAACTCTAAAACATTAAACCCACTATTGGAGAATGGAACTCAGAATACAAAAATAGAAGAGAACAGGTTGTGCTGACCCACCTTCACATAGGCCACACCTACATCACCCACCATTATTTACTAGAGGGCACAGAATCCCCAATATGCACTACATGCCAAGAGAAATTTACAGTGAAACATATACTGTTAGAGTGTGTAGATTTTGATCTAGTGTGAACAAAATATTACCAAGTGAGTAATTTAAAAAACCTTTTTATGAAAATAAAACCATCCAAGATTGTAAATTTCCTAAAAATATGAGTAATTGAAAAATGGTTCAAATATATATGTATACATACACACCTGTTTTTACCAAACTATTGCTATGAATCTATTTCAAAATTTTGTTGGCATTAAATGACCTAATGAGGTTGATATGCCATAAAACAAAACAACCAACCAATCTACTAGCTAATCCCTATTGCAGAAACTCGCTCAGGCACATACATTTGTGTTTGTTCAACACCCACAGAACCAACCCGTGGTTTATACTGCAACTATACTGAGCAGACCTTAGTTACAGTTTCTGGGAGAGAGTGTGTAATCTAGCGTGAACAGCAATCTTAACAACGCCAGCACACTCAAACCCTCAGTCATAATAACTTGTGATGACTTTGTGCTAGCACAGCTATCGATAGCCCCCAAGTGTTCCGTCTACCCAATTTCACTCACAAGGTTTGGGTCAACCCGTGGTTTGATTTTCAGGCTCTTTCCAAAGGTGCCACATGCTGAGATCATCCCCCTCCAGGTCAATAATATCAGGAAGTCTCCTTCCTGACAAATCAACTGTGGTGAGATTCAAACCCTGGTCTTACACCCAGAAAACAAATGTTCAAATCACTTGACCACACACCCATATATATATATATATATATATATATATATATATATATATATTAAATTAAATTGTAAGAGTCTTAAGGTGCCAAAATTGCTAGTTATTTTTCTGTAGTTTACTAGTGGAAAGGCATTTTAGGCAGGTTTTTGCCCTGAAGTGTGAACGCATTACTGTAATGTGCTCACAAAACTTCGAAGTCTGCATGACTGAAATAACACCACTTAGATCAGTGATAAGTTTTTCCACATTTTATATATATATATATATATATTTGTTTTTTTATAAAAAGTTATATTTGTTGAGTATGCGTGTTTGACTTCCTGATTTGTTTTTTATTTATATTTTAGCGGTGAAATTAATACTTAGAGATTGAAAGTAGTATTAAAGAAAATGTTATGGTAATAAGAAAAAACATTAAAAAAAAAATGTTCATTAATTGCTTAAAAATATATATAATATGATCACCGGACACAAAACCTTATACTCAGATTAGCATATTTGTTAGTATGAGCTTCTCCAGAAATCACATACATGTTTATATTCTGTCTATAGTGTTTACTTGTTTTAAGAAATTATTCCCTGGAGAATTAAAACCAGTTTAATGTTTGCCCAAAACTGCATTTTGGTTAAAATTTCAAATATTGCTTTGTTTGGCAACTTTTTTGTTTGATTTGATAAATTGTAGATATTTTGGAAGTGAAAAGAAAAAAAATATTCACATTAAAATGTAATTGCTGTTGTTCCCAGGTCCACCTTGACCCAGGGTGGTAGCACCTGTTAGGGTTCCAGCTATGGGCAAATAGTGAACGCCCAAAAAAAACACTGTGAAAGTATAAAAATACATGACCAACAATACATATTTATAGTAAAATTACCAACAATATGTGCATATTAAGAAACTATAGTGACTTCACATAAATCTATTTAAAATATTACCAAACGATCAACATGAAAGAACTTTCATGACATTAACCCATATAATATTCTAAAATTTCTTAAATCAAACTGTATTTCAAAATAACTTCAACAAAGCTACAACATAAAACACACATATCACCGACTCTAGTAATTACGTCCACACAAACATGTATATGGATAAAAGCTGGGTATCATCCACCATGTATTCAATTGTGAAAGAATAACATATGTCATATTTTTATTACTTCTAAGCCCCCAAGAAAATTAAATTTCGGCATTATATGACCCATCAGGTGTTGATATGTCGATCAGCAGACAAATCAGACCCACATATCCTGGTAACCATTACCCACTGAAATTTTTTGTAGTAAAAAAAAAAAAAGTATGAATTTATCATGTATGGAGGTTTCAGTATACAATAATTTAGATAATTTCCCCTCAGGCATTTGCTGTTTTATATGACTGTTAAGATATCTATCGACTGGTTTGGTGGTTTTATATATATATATATATATATATATATATATATTTAAGTAACAAAAATCTTGGTAATCCATATGGATAATCCCAAGGAAGATGAAATTCTGAGAGCTCAATGTTAAGTCAGAGTGAATAATTTAATTTAAAGAAAAACAGACCACTTTAAGGCTCCATTTGTTATAATTTATTTCACCAGAGAATTTTATTTTTCTCTGGATCTTCACTTTCAAAGGTGAAATGAAAAATGAATTTTAAATTTACACTTTTGATGGGCAGTATTAAGCTTATAGAAGGTGGTGAGGAATTGTGTGAGAGACATGGTCGAGTTTAGAGAGAGAAGGGAGAGTTTTAAAGAAAAAGAAATTTTAAAACTCTCCCTTCCCTCTCTAAACTAAATGGAGCCTTAAAGTGGTCTGTTTTTCTTTAAATTAAATTTTATGTATTTATCCATTTTGAGGGCCACATTTTGGAATAGAAAAATATCTTTAGTTACTACATGTACAAAGTCTACCTCATGTATATTGAAAGGTTTTCATTTTTGAAAATGATAGATACGAATAAATTTATTAAGAATTTAAATCCTGAATTGTCAGCTTACAGTATAAATATTCAGTTTTTTCTATGTTTTTTTTGTATTTTGCTGAAATATTTTGTTTAATTCTCTGCTTTCAGAAATTTCCGTTAGAACCTGAGGATAGCATTTTAACATCGACACTAAAACAGTTTGCTACTTACTTGGATGATGTAAGTAATTAGTTCATTATTTATTAATATGGATTCTAAGTCTTACTTTTTATTAATATTTTATTAACATTTAATCTTTATTTCTTTAAGGTTTATTACATAATCCAGACCATTCTCTTTCAGTGTTCAATATGCATGTCAAATAAAAATGACTGATCTGTTCATATACACTTTGTCAGATTTTATTATGTTAATCAATTTTCTTAGCAAAATTAGTATTAACCAACCACTGGTGGTAAACTTTTCAAGACATACTTGATAAACTAGCAGCATGGCCCGGCATTGCCCATGCTTAATTCAAAAATTATACGACTCATACAGCAATCACTATCACTTGACTTAAAATATTTTTGCCCTTCTTTGCCTTTAAAGGAGTGCCCTTCGATGTGCTGATGTTGCTATATGCCTTACTTCTTGCCTATCTCACACTGCCAACTTTTTCTAAGCTCTATAGTAAACATTAAATCTGTTACGAAAAAAGAACTAAACAAAATGAACACAAAACGATCAGCTTTAAAAAAGGACTCATAACTGGAAAGACTGAATGAAAAAAGAATGTTAACAACAAATACATTTTCACACCCAACCCAGTTCTGCGGAATCAGAATCAACGTTGAGTTTAAGCAAACGAATGAGCCAATTGAAGTAAAGTGCCATGCAGATTTAAATTTTTCCCACTTATGACGAATGCAGCTATCGATTTTTTTTTTTTTGCATGCTAGTTAACATTCGTGTCAGTCAGCTGTTGGCTCTCATGCTGGCCAATAGAATCTTCCTGCCTATTTGTGGCAGCCAGCTATAGGCTCTCACTCTGGCCAGTAGAAAATGGCCACAAACTACATGAAAACTGCCGTAGAAGCATGAAAAAATCGATTATTTCCACTATCGATGGGAGTTGGGAAATGCAACGTCGGTCTTGGCCTTCCCACTAACTTGGAGCATGTGCATGTAAATTTTGGTGCAAATCCATCGAAAATTGCGGCCGTGCATTCGTTACACACACACACACACACACACATCCTGTCTTTTATAGATAGAGATGTGTTATGTCAATTTTAGATTATAATATTTATTAGAAATATTTATGGTAGACTGAGATTGCATTATGCAACTGGAAGTTTGTTCATCATATTGTAAATAATTAATAGGGAAGTTATTTACACTATTTACATTCTTCAGACTGTTGTCCTCATCTTTGTTGCCATACTTACAACATTTTGGCTGTTATATGCTTCAGCCTTCTTCAGGTGATTGGAATTTTCAACTGAACCCTTTATTTCATCCACCGGGGTAGAGTGTTCTAGTTCCACGTGTCATGCCTCTTCCAAATGTCTCAGTATTAATTATCTCCCTTTAACTAAACTCTCTAAGTTTTTGTTCACCTCAGTTATATTGAACTCACAAGTCTGTGGATCAAGTCACTGGATTCAACAAACACTTTTATCCATTGGGCCATATGTCTAAATTTATGAGACTCATAAACCTAATGTCTCATAACTATTTTACCAGAGCTCATATTGCAATTTTGTTGTTATTATCATTGTTTTTCTCTAGCACTCTGTATTACTAGTTCTCATATTGTATTCATTTCTATGCTTGACTGGCTTTTTTGTAGCATGCCATAGGTGCTGATTCCATAAGTTTTAGTATTTTCCAGTGATGTTCTTTGTTATTTCAATCTCATCCCACAGGGAGTGGTGATCTCCTTTTTTCTCTCCATATGTTGTAAGCTATACCTGATTTTCCCTTGTGTTATGGCTTTACGGTATTCCTACAGCTGCATGGGATGATGTACACACAGTCATTAATCATGTTCTTCTCTATGGGAGGTCTTACATGGAAGACATATCTGCAAAGTGTTGAAACACTTTTAAATGTTGTCTTGATGTTATATGGACCACATATCTTTTGTATTTTTTCTGATAATCACCTCACACAAGTTACGCAGACTGAGGGTGTTTTCTGAGTGTAGTTATGGTGAAATGGTCAGTATATGCAGTACCCTACAATGTAACAACTATGTATACCAATAGATAACCTGATGGTGATGCTGACCTGCTGTATGCAAACACATTTCGGAATGAGATCAGATATATATTGGCAAGATGAAGGGTTAGCAATGGGCTTGCCATTATCATCAGCAATGGCTGATATGTACATGGAATACTTTGAAGAAATGGCATTAAAACCAACTCTATGGTCGAGATACATAGATGACACCTTCGTACTCTGACCACAACAAAAAGAGGTCCAAATGTTACTAGAGCATATGACCTCAATAAGATCATTGTGATATGGTTCATAATGGGGAGAGAAAACAACAACAAATTAGCATTCCTGAATGTACTAATATGTCAAACAGAGCATGGGTTCAAGACATCCATATGCCGCAACTCAACATTCTCTGAACAATACCTCAACTCCCACCACCCATACAGTATAAAGAAAGGGATCGTCCACTGCTTACAACATCAAGCAAAAGTCATAAGGGGTGACCCAGAGGCATATGAACAAGAAATGATCAATATAAATAGTATCCTACAACGTAACAACTGCCCTCGGTAGATGACAGCAGCCCTGACAAACTGGGATAGGAGATGCAAAAAGGTAACACTCAAAAAACAGCCTCAGTCTGCGTAACTTGTGTGAAGCAATTATCAGAAAAAATGCAAAAGATCTGCGGTCCATATAACATCAGGACGAGATTCAAAAGTGTTTCAACAGTTTGCAGACACCTCTTCCGTGTAAGACCTCCCATAGAGAAGTACATGATTAATGACTGTGGTAAGAAATATGAAGGCCATTCCCTTAAAGTAAGACAGTAAAGCCATAACACAAGAGGAAATAGAAAAATCATACATAGCTGACCACATATGGAGGGAAAAGAGAGATAACTGCCCCCTGTGGGATAAGATTGAAATAATAGACAGAGAACATCACTGGAAAATACAAAAATAAGAAATCAGTGCATATGCTAGGCCACAAAAATCCTCTAAGCGGGTCTTTAAGTAAGCATCACAAAAAGAAACAGAAGTTGGGTAAAGAAGTACATGAAAACTAACTTCTCAACAATGATAATATGTAAGTGTGTGTATATATATATATATATATATATATATATATATATATATATATATATATATATTATAGTCAACTGATATTATAGTCAACTGATATGAAACTTAAAATAATATTGTCATTAATATTCATTTTTTTAATTTCATAGATATAAATATATATATATATATATATATATATATATATATATATCCTAGTGGATCCTAGTAATATAAAATATTAAAACTGACCCACAAAAAGAGCTCAATGTATTTATTATGAATTATATTTTCATCTATCAAAATAAGTTTATTCCCCATATGAGGTGATTTTGGATTTTATTGTGTGTATGTATATATATATATATATATATATATATATATATATATATATATATATATATATATATAATATATAATAACCATGGGTTGTAAGAAAAGGAAAAACCTCAAAGGGAAACTTGTTTTTTGAGTGATGCAATCACAATGTTCGAAATTGCAAAAAGGAGAAAAGATATCAAAGAACAGACAAAAAAAGAAACTGAAATTATTGGCCAGATATGGACAAAAAAAAATGGTTTTAAGAATTCAGGAAATCTAGTACTGCATTTAAATTCATCAAGTACCAAAGAGAAAAGATTTTCAGAACAATTGCCATGAAAATATTTATAGAAAAAGGCACAGGAAAGCTATATTATGACAGTGGGAAAGTGACTGAACTCAAAAAGCCAAGATGATCAATAACATTGTAGACTTTTCTTTGCATTTTATCAAGAATCTTTAAATATATAGCAGAATATATTCAAATTTGTTTCATGTATTATAACTGTTTCCATTTCCTGTAAGAGAATAAGGCAGAAGATGAATTGTTATTTTCACTTAATTTTTTAGGATGTAGTGGACATAAACAAGAAAATACAGATATTTCTTTTAAGTACATGACAATTTCAGAATGATTTAGATAAGCTGTTATTTGACAGAATATGTAAACTAATTTATAACTCATCTAATGTTTGTTAAACTAATGTCAATATGGAGACCATGAAGAAGGTCATAAAAAATGTCATTTTTTATGTTATGAATAAACTAGTTTCTTTCATCAAATGTGAGAAAATTTTAAAGTTATCAAACCATATAATAATTAACAATGTGTATTTATTTATATATTTTCTGTCCCATCTCTTTTGCTCATATCATTCACCTCATTCACTAACCTTCTAATGTAAGTGGCTCTTGTTCCTTGTATTGGATGAACAATAGTATTAAAAAATGCTGAATTCGGTTAATTATTTTACTGATTTTGAACTGTTGTAGTTCTAAGTGGGTAGCTGTTTTTTTTTTGTCTTTTTTTAAGTGATAGCCATCATACTTTTTGACTTGAGGCCTATATGGTTGCAACTAAAATGTTTATTGGATTCAGAGCATTAATTCTGTATTATTCTTACTGTTTTTTTATAACCTCATCCAAAAATTATAGTGACCACTACTGTTAAGTATTAGGTTGTTACACATAAAATAACACATTGGTTGATTGTTGATCTGGCCGTCTAATAAAGTAACCTCCTTAGTAAATAAAAAAAAATATTGACTTATTCTTAACTTTTTTTCTTTCCAGATAATTTTTGTTACTCATAAGCCCAATGAAAATAATTACAATCAAACGATGTCAAGTAATCTTACTGTATGAGTACAAACTGGGAAAAAGAACCATTTTTGCATCAAATCATTACATGCATTAAGAAATGGATACTCTTCGACAAAAGTCAGAGAGTAAACCAGGGGTTAGATGCAAGGGAATCACCAAAACAATACCCAAGAGGTTCACTGTACCCTAAAAAGTTAATGGCTACTGTATGGTGGTCTTTCAAAGGGGCTATTCGTTATTCATTCCTGCCTTAAAGGAAAACCTTGTATTGTGGAGAAATTGAGTATATTCATGAAAAATTGAAAAAGAAACATCCTAAACTTTTGAATAGGGTTGGCCCAATTTTGTTGCATGACAATGCATGGCCACACACTTTTCAGTCAACTGTTTAAAAGCTGCATAGCCTGAATTTTGAAATTTTACTTTATTCTCCATATTTACCTGTTATCTCTCCTATTGATTATCACATTTAAACATTTTGAGCTTTTCATATGCAATAAAACATTTGAACTGTTTATTACATCAAAGGGTGAGAATTTTTTTTAAAGATGTGATTAAGAATTTAGAGGTATGTTGGAGAACAGTCATTCATCAACATGGTGACTATTACAACTAAATAAATTATTTATTTAACATTTCAGAAGCATTTTATTCATTTCCTATAAAGTGTGTCATTTCATGTGGAATGACCTAATATATGCCTGTTACATACTTTGCATATATGTTTGTATAAGCTTCATCAGAAATCACATATTTACATATTCCAATTGTTCTTAATTTTTATTGGTTTTTAATGATTATTTCCAGGAGAATTAAAACCAGTCTAATGTTTGTCCAAAACAATTTTGATCAAAATGTTAAATGTTACTTTGTTTGGTAACATTTTAATTTGGTTTGATAAATTGTAGATTTTTGAGGAAGTGAAAAAAAAAAAATTTATTCACACTAACATTTTTTTTATAAAGATTTGTAAATCTAATCAGATTTAAAAATTTAAAAATCTTCTCAAATTCTTGCTTTATTCTAGTCATTGATTATGCCTAAAATTCAATAAATGTTTTATTGAAAATTATAACTCACTCTAATTTTAATAACATTTTTGTTAGTAAAATGGTATGAATTTAGCACATATGGAAGTTTCAGTATGCAATAAGCAGATAACTTCCCTTTAGGCATTTGCTGTTTGTTAATGTGACAGTTATGATTTGATGGTGATATATATTTGTAATTTTATGTTCATTTTGAGAGCCATACTTTCGAATGGAAAAATATTAATTTCATTTGCCACCTGTAAAATGTCTATGAAAATACTTGTGTATATTGAAGAGCTTTCATTTATAAAACTGTTATCTGATGATATCTTAAAATAAACTTAATAATTTAAACTATTTTATTGGATTTGATAAATACTAACTTCTCCACATGTCTTCACTGAGCTAAATCTTACAATTCTTAAATATTTTATTCTAACTTATCTGCCAAAGGGAGGAATTAAAATTTTTAGATTTACTAACAATTTTAATGAAAATCTCATTGATGGTCGCAGCATAATATTCTTTTGTAGTATTTTGTTTAGTAATCAACTAAGGAATGGTACATGCCTAGTGTAATGGTTATTTGTGTGGAAACAGGAATTGGCAGACCACTAAGTGTTGAATTCACTTTGCATCAATACCTTTTGGGGAAGTTGTGAATTCATTTTTTCTCCCACTAGCTGTGGATAAAATTGTAGGGTAGACTGGACTATATGAACTTGATAGGGCAAAAAGTCTCAGACACAGTCAACTCTAAATTCAAAACTGCCAAAAAGGCAATGGAAATCTTTCATGGGAGCAACACAGTTTATAGATATTAGAAATAAAGGAAGCAGTAGAATTCCATGATATTGAAAATTTAAATAAAGAACTTTAATCTTAAGAATTAACCTGCTCATTATTTTTATAGCTTAATCCACTGTTAAGCATATCATTATTGTTTCTAAAACCTTTTTTTTTTAAATTCAATTGCTCATGATTTTTATACAGGTGTTCAGAAAATTCAAGTCACATTTATCAAAATGGGTTTTATTCTATAAAAAAACGAAAGAATTATTATTAATCATAAAGATTCTGAAGTAAAAATGATTGAAAAATAATGATCGTTTTTTTTTTTTTTTTTTTTTTTGTAGGTGAGTTCAGTCCAGCAAGTCTTAGCAGCTCAGTACTCAGAAACAATGATGTTCCCATTGTCCAAGTTTCTTCAAAATGACATTGAAGGTAAATTTATTAGAACTTCTTGGCATTTTATATTATACTTGAAAAAAAAAAAAGAATGCAATGGAAGTTTATGAGTAGAAGTGAAAGGATATTTATGTATAACATGCAGCCTAGATTACAACTAATTTTTGGCATAAATGGCTTTAACAGTCTGTATGAATGTTATTGTCTAAATTACACAGTGAGTACATTATTTAGTCCATTTTCTTGTATTTTCATGGTTCATTTATTAATCTATCAAATTCATTCTGTTGTTATTACATTATTCTAGAAGCGTTGGGATATTACTTCCATTATTAAAGGGTTGGAATATGAAGAATTAAAATACAAGCATACATTTTCTATATAGACAGCAATTAATTTTATATTATTGGAAATTAAATAATTGAAACCATGATTTGAAAAGATAAAATGTGCATTGTTTTACACATAGTTAGGAAAGAAAAAGGCGTGTCAGAGAAAAGGCGGGAAAGTACATTAGACTCGGGGGGGGTAATTTTGAAGGGGAAAACTTGTAGTTTGGATTTGACAATTTTTTTCACTATTTACATTATTCGGACTATTGTCGTCATCTTTGTTGCCATATTTATTACAACGTTTTAGCCATTGTATGCTCGAGCCTTTTTCAGGTGGTTGGAATGTCAAACTGAACCCTTTATTTCACTCACTGGGGTAGACTGTTCTAGTTCCACGTGCCATGTTTAATGGATGTCAGTTATTAGTTATCTCCTGTTAATTCCCCTCTCCAAGTTCTCCACTGCCTTAACCAGGTATTGAACTCACACTCTTTGGGTCCTGTCACTGGATCTAACCAAGGCTTTTATTCACTGTGCCATTTGTCCTTGAGGAAGGCTGGAGCGTACAATGGCCGAAACGTTGTGATAAATATGGCGACAAAGATGAGGACAATAGTCTGAATAATGTAAATAGTGTACATAATACCTCATCTCAGAAATATAGACAGATACTGAAAGGCCGAAATGTTGTGATAAATATGGCGACAAAGATGAGGTCAATAGTCTGAATAATGTAAATAGTGTACATAATACCTCATCTCAGAAATATAGACAGTCAATTTTTTTTGTAACCTCAGATATGTTTCTTTTCTGACACACCTTGTACATCTGGGGTAGTGGTTCCATATTATATCTGCTCAATGATTCTTATTACATGAAACTCTGAATAGCGCATTTATGATGGTTCGAAAATAATACTTTCTATTTATTTCCAGAGAAATTACAACAGATACAGTGACCATCATAATACTATTGGCTAGAGCAAGTTTTCAGCTACTAAGCACTATTTTTTCACATAGTCAATACTATTGGCTACACTCTTTTGCCAGCAATGAAAAAAAAGTCTGTGCTGGGCTGCCTTCAGCACTGTGTCTTACACATGTTGCTGTCATCACTGCTGAAATGCATTACTCACTGTGCTCACATTCATGATTAGGTCACCATAAACATTTAGTGATTGTCGATGAATGTCAAATGGTGCAATTTAATGACACATCCCTGCTTCACAATCATTTTCATATTAGACATTTTTTTAACCTGCCACTACAAGGCAAAAAAAAGTATATTAGAAACAACCTTCAAACTTTGTTGACATACACCACTAATATAGTAAAATAGGAATCATTATTTTCAGAGTGATCCTCGTATCGTCAATTATAGCAACCTTATTATTTGATCTGAAAATGACAATAAAATTTGCTTGTCTTTTCATTTATATTCTGTAATGTTTTTTACTTTACAGAGGTTAGCACAATGTTTGAAATGTTCCAGATTGCTACAGATGGTAAGTCACATTTCCTACACACACACACACACATACATATATATATATATATACATATACATATATATATATATATATATATAAAACACAATATGTGTTCATATTTATATTTTTTTGTGACACCTTTTCTTTGTCAACAGAACAGTCCACTCTTCTGCTATAGAAGAATACTACATGTTTATACTAAAAATATCATGGTAAAGAAATTGCAGTTTGTTCTGTAGATATATTTAAATATTCATGTATATGCCTTTCCTGTTTGAAGTTTCTAATGAATCTTAATTCTTAATTTAATGATTGAAGAAATTCTGTGAATGCCACACTTACAAAATACTCATGGAAATTTCCCTATTGTTAAATATTTGAGCTTTATGAATTTAACAAAATATTTCAATAACAATCATAATTATGAATGTTGGTTATTATTTAAAGAAGTAAGAGGATACAAATGAAAAGATTAAAAATCGACAAAGTTTTCTATTTCACTGAAGCAGATGTTAATCACATGAGAGCATTATCAAATCTTAAACAGTCTCTCTGATATATCTTTTTCTTCTGCCTTTCCTTGCAATCAAAACAGAATGGTCCATTATTTATCTGAGGCAATGGCAGGGTATAATGGGCATGCTAACTAACTTACTAAGAGAGGAACAAACAGAATTATATGATTTTTTTCATTTCCTGCATGAAGACAAAGCAAAGGATCAGTATTTATCTGTTGTCAGCACCAGCTTGTATCCGAACATTAGGATTGTCACCCTCTCTCCCTATTCCCTTTCTCTCCTCTGATGAAAAAGCCCACACACTTGGCCTAAATCGCCTCTCTCACAACTTAAAGGGAATTGAGACAGGCAAGATCTGGCAAACCTGGTTGCATCGGGCTGTCGGATGCTTGGTCTGTCAAGATCCACCTTATGCCAGCCTGACTGATGCTGCCCTCTTCTGCCAGTTTAGCTGTTGAGATCATCTATTCTGCCTCTGGAATCTTTTGGGGTTGGTTGCATTCATTTTGGTCCTTCCTCTTTGACATTACCGCGATAGGTGGCCCTACAGGAATTGAAACTCCAGACGGCTTTGCTCTTGGGATCACTGGGACAAGTAAGCCCTCTCCAACCACAAGGAATGATCATATATATTTTACAATGGATGTTGGAATGAACAGTTCATTATATGACTTATTATTACTTTAATGACAATAATAGAAATGAACCAATAAATAAGAGAAACAAAAATAAAACTAATAAAAATATAAAATTATAATTAAATATATGAGAACATTATTTATTATTGTTGTTGCTAAAAATAACAGAGGAAGACATTCACAACTGAATAATGGAGGCTGATGTCGGAGTGAACAGATGTGTTTTTTCATTGCTCAAAGAAAGCAATGTCATATTTTAAAAAAAAGGGAAGTCTTTAATTATTCATATTTTATTGTTATATTTTTCTTTATTATAATTTTGTTATTTTATTATGCATTTATATCTAATTATTAAAATACGTATTTTTTCTTTTTCTTCTTAAGTTGATGTATACATTGTTTTTTTTAAATAAATGTTTTAGCAAGTTTACTTACTTTATTAAGAATGTCTATTATCACCAGGAATTGTTATATCAGGAACATTCAATGCATTGTATTTGCTAAATTACATATACACTGGCAGGAATAATTCTATATTAGGCATGACATTTCTCTTTTTTTATGAAAGAGCATGTAATTTTCGAAATTGTAGGAAATGCATTTCAAGTCGTAATGTTTGTTTTGTTTATCATTGACTATTAGTTCAGTATCGTCGATTTCTTGTATTTTCTTCTCTGTACTTATTGAATATAAACAAGAAAATACATACTAACATAAAGTTTGATATTTTAAAAGTACAATGAAATTGCAAAATATAGTTATTATTTGACAGCTTAGTTAAACTAATTTTCATTATAATGTTATATAAACGTAAATATGAAAATAAATATTTTCAGACTTAAAAATCTTAAACAATAATGCTTCCATAAAAAGATTTTATTCTATATAAAATATATCCTAGGATTGTATTTATTCTTTTCTGCTTAAATATCACAAAAAAAAACCCATATTAAAAATATTTACATGTAAGATACATCTTATATCTCCAGACTTTCAATGTCTTATCTCTACAAAGAAAGGAAGAAATCTTGTGAATAATTATGACTTTTAATTCTCTAGAATTCTTTAAATTTCCTTTTATTATTACAGAACATGAACAAGCAATGGGAAAGTACATGAAACTGTCAAAGAAAAAAGAAAACGATCGTTTGCGCCGTGAAGTTAATGAAGAACTTTATACATCAAGGAAAAAATTTCATCAGGTAATTCTCCACCTAATACTGATTTTATCATTCTTATTTAGTTTTTTATACATTTTACCTCAAGCAAAGTGATAAAAAAACACCCTAATAGAATGCAAGGAGTTGCAAAGAAAACTAGGACAATAAAATAACAGGATTCGAGTAGACAAATAACAATTGGCACAGCATTTAAATTTTTGAAGATTGTAGTTGACAGGAAAGCAGGAAGCTGGATGAGTTTCACAAATGAAAAGTACAGGAGAAAGTATTAGCAGAGAAATTATGGTTACTGCTGTTAAGTATTAGCAGAGAAATTATGGTTACTACTGCTGCTGTCATCAATTTTGTGATAAAAGTATGGATTTTTAAAATTAGTCGTTTAATATATTTTAATTATTAGATTAGAATTTATTACTATAACTCAAGGTGGGAGTAGGGCATATTTATTGTTTTTGTAATGTTTACTGTTAATTGAATTTTGGTATACTTTAAAATCCAAGATGACTTTCTCTTTATTTTAGAGTTGTTAGACTTGATACTGGAATAAACAAAACCATAATATTATTAATTAGCATCAATATTGATAGCAATACAACAAACTAATGCATACTATTCAATATGTCTCCATTCAAGATACATGTTTCATCCTAGAGGGCAGCATCTTATACTCAAATTAGATTATGTATCGGTATATACATATATATGGAATTATTATATATAGCATATTAATATGTACATATATCTGTTAGTATATACATATGAGTTTCATCAGAAGCACATGATCACATGGATTTTGGAACTGTGGTATTGCACTCAATTTGAAAGTTGTAGTTTGACATGATAAATAATGGCACAAAATATTTTTTTTAAATCATTATCTTTTTTTGAGGAAACAAGTTTAAAGATTTAATTTAGGTTCAAAATTGAAGTGTTGGAATTTCATTCCGATGATCAGTAAAAGCCTTATAGAACATCCCTACAAAATTTATAATTGAAATATATGGTTTCATTTGAAATTAAAAGGAATAATAAATTCCATAATCAACAACTGCATATATACAAAATATGATACAGAGAATAAAGAAATACTTGACCAAAATATAGAATGTTGCATTAAAAAATTTAAAGCACATTGTTTTTGCTTTGCTTCCAGAAACTATTCTTTTCTCAATGAAGTCAGATGAATTAGAGTTGATGGAAGAGGCTATAAAAATCTTTGTCCATTAGAGGCGGATATGTAATATAATTGGCCCTGATCTGGCATCTCATCTGCAGTTGCTCTCTCACATATGCGCCGTCACCTCTCTCTGTCTTTTTTACAAATACTTTCATGGTAATTGCTCCGATGAGCTGCTTTCACTGGTCCCCAGACTCCATGAATTCAAGCGCCCTACGAGGCTGGCATCCCACTCTCACCCTTTCACTGTAGAAACTACTAAATATAGCCGTCTCTTCTACTCCAATAACTTCATACCTTGCACTTCTCGCCTGTGGAACACCCTTCCCTATTACTGTTTCCCTGAGAGCTATAATCTCCAACTATTCAAATGTAATGCCAATCAACATCTCCAGTTACCTTGATCTATCCACTATCCCTCTCCTCATCCTTTCCTCTATCACTCCTATCTGCTCTCGCTCCAAATCTTCTGCAACCCCCTGCATCCTAGTGGCTTCACACCTTGCTTGGGGCGTAATGCTTAAAAAAAAAAAATAATAAGTAAACATTTATCCATACTTAATTAGTTATGCCAATTTATAAGGTTAATTTTAAGATTTAATTCAAATTACATCACAAAAATATGGATAAATTTTCTAATAAAAATGTTTTTACTTCAGAAGTAGCGAGCCACGAAAGAAGAGATTAAAAAAAAATACATTTATCAACTCTGATTCGACACACTGGTCAAGTTTGATTAACCTCAACTTTATTTGGATTTATTCTTGAAATAATATAATTAGGAAGTCAATTTTTAAGCAAAAACCTGTGGAAATTAGGTATTTCTGTACATTTTTCAGACAATGTTTAAAATTAAATGCTCAAAAATTGGTAAAAGCTATGAATCTAATTTTTGGTGTCAGTACTTTACAAATCAAACCGCAGCCTTTACACGGGGTGCAATGTCGATTTTCTGGAAAAAGTGAAAAATCAACCTGCTCTATTATCTCGGTGCTGTGTAATAGCACAGAGAGGACAACAGTATTGTAAACTCGTAGATTGGTGTATTGGGAGATAATATGACACTGCCACGGGCTCTCAAGGGTCCTCTCATGACACCTTCAGCCAGGCCACGTCTTCTGTTAATCTCCATGAGGAGGTTGCTGGTGTTGGAAACTTCTGAGTCCAGAACTCAAACTTGGTGAAGTCAATGGGGTCACTGCCATTAATGAATGGGCAGTGGGTTGGTGGGCCATCTCCTATGTGTATCAGCTTGGTCTTTGTCACCTCCTTGTTGAACATGTGGAGTGCCTTCCTTCAACCCTACCAGGTGGTAACAAAATAATGTGTGAACATAGTCCAGGTCAGTTAAGTCTTAGTTTTCAAGCTGAACACCAGGGAAGCGGTCCCACATTTAACTTAATACCATGAAGTTAAAATTAATATAACTGAATTTGACATCACACTAGATGGAAGATCTGTTGTAAAGTGTGCACTATTGTGACTCCTGAAGTCCCATAATGAAACACTTGACTGAATTTTGAATATGGGTTGTGAATTGCCATGTCAATTATTGAACCTGATATTGTGAATCTTGTGGCAGAGAAATAAGATCATCCATCAAAAAAATCATATCAGGATTTGAATAAATGTAATCCATTTAAAATGATTTTTAAATGTCCAAATTTGCTTAATATAGTTAATTAATTACTGCTTAAAAAGTAAAAATAGGGGTCGACCAGAATACTTTCTTTATAAAAAGGTGGTTCTTCAACTTATCTAAATTTTGAAGCCACTCATCTAAAGTATGACAAAAATAATTTTTTTTTGTTTTCATCCTGCAGACAGCCCTGCATTATTACTCCTCTCTGAATGCCTTGCAGTACAAGCGAAAATGTTTTTTGCTTGAACCAATCCTTGGCTATATGCATGCACAGAGAGCATTTTTCCAGATGGGACAGGAATCAGTTGGCAAACGAGAAATAGAGGATTTCCTTAGTAACATAGCAACCAGTGTCCAGGGTGTCCAGCAGGAACTTAACCAAGAGACACAGAAGACTGTGGAACTGATTGACACATTAGAGAGCCAAAGTAGCCACTTGTACCATCCTGAGCCTCTTATTGAAATGCCATATATTCCTCCAAATACAGCCTTGGTTTGTAAAGCTGGCTATCTCTTTATGAGAAGGTAAGTCTAAAACAGATTTTTTTTTTATACAATAATTTACTTGCATAAGTGTCCTCATTTTAGTTTTATAATTCAGTTTTGGCCATTAAACTCTCCGGCCATCTTTAGGAGTCTGTTATAGTTAGCAGCTTTCTTCCAAGAAACATGGACTTGTGGGTAAAAGTGTTGATAACATAGATTTAGTTTCCAGATATTTGTTGGTTGGTTGGTTGATTTTGTTTAGTGACATATCAACCTCTATGGGTTATTTAATACTGAAACCTAAATATTTTAAATGCAATTTTTAACTACAGATAAAATATATTGTTGGCCATTTTTGATTTTTTTATATAAAATGTATTGCTGATATTTTTACTATAAATATGTATTTTATACTTTTATAATGTTTTGATTTTGTTTGGCAGTTCATCATTTGTCCATATCTGGGACCCTAACAGGTGCTACCATCCTGGGTTATGGTAGACCTGGAAACAACAGCAATTATGAGGTGTCTCCATGCTGCTCAAAAACTTACAATCTCCTGATAAGAGGCCTTGTTGCTAGATGTATTTTATCTTCATATCCAGGACTGCTGACATTTGTAAATTCAGTTCTTGGTTCAGGGTGTGCACAAGTAACATACATACTAATTTAGTAGAAGATACAGACAACACTGCAAGGAAATAACGAGAAAGAATTAACTGATATGAGATATCCTCTAGTATAGACCGTGGAATGAGAACCATCTATCTCCATGAATTGAATAAAGTGTTTAGTTAAAATATAACATTACCAACTGCAACAGGCAACTGAAAAAGCTGGAGAATATAAAAGTTGAAATGTGACTACAACAAACAAGATGAGGATCCTAGTATGAGTAAATATGTGTATAATTATGGCAGTTCTTTATCTCAGATGTTCAGTTTTGTCTTTTGTTACAATTTCAAATAAAGTTCTGGGATTCTATTTAATCAGATCTTTTAATTGTCTTCTTTTAATTTTTTTTTTATTCCTGCTTTGAGTTAAATGTTAGCACCTTGTAACAAAAAATCGGTGAATTGAGTTTGAATTCTGGTCGAGTCCATTACACTCACTTTTGCACAGACACCTGTAGTGGAAATGAAATGCAGATGGAGTAGCCAATCACTACTGATAATGGGACCGGATCCCGTCGGTCAAAGAAATGATGTTTAGTGTACTGTCTCTGCAGAAAACAGCACGTAGCTGGCATGGCAGTATGGACTCAGTGTGAACCCCAGAATATCTGGTTATGAAGAAAAAATGTGTTTATCAGTTTCCTCATGAGGTAATTAGGATTGTGAGCTATGCAAATGATTCCTTTGCTAGCCAACCGCTAATGTTTTAAGCCCCATAAAAGGTAGGCATATTTTCTGGGAAGATGGAGAAATTGGAAGTATGCTGCATTGGCCGCACAATGGGATTGCCATGAGTCACCAAGGATTTTTGTTTGTATTACCCAGCAGCATTTCAAATTCGGTCATCCTTGTTTGTGTTTCCAGTGTCTCAGCTGTTTTTGTCCTATACATGTAGTGTTGCTATGTGAAAGTCTTGTCCATGCCCTGCTCGTTGTGGTCCAGTGTTTGATTCCAGTGTTGCCAAGTTTTCCGATCCTCTTCATTGGCAGGTACCCAACCAATAATAAGAAAATCCCTTCAATATTCTTTTGGGAAAGTACGAATACATCTCTTCTTTCTTCAGCTATGTTTTTAAATAGTAGAGAAGACTAGGCTGTAATTATAGTTGGCAACCAATTCAAGAGAAGGAAAGTTCTGAATTCAAAACCCAACCACCTGAAACTGTGCTGTTGGTTAAATAAACATGGAGTGAAGATACTATGTTTGTAAAATAAAAACATGTTAGATTTCAACAACTCTTGATGATCCCACTGGAGAGCTATGATCCAGAAGATTGTTGACACCAGCATGAACTGGACCTTAGTAAGATATATGAATGGATGGACTTTATTTCAATTACAAACTGGTTATCTTTAATCCTGCCATTCTTTTCAGATATTTGACTACAGCTTTTATTAGTTTGCTTATTTACAAGAATAATTTTTATATTTACAAGATTATAAAAATATATGAACCAACTATAATGCAATATTTATTATTTACCATTTTATAAGGAAATAAAAATGAAAATAATTTTTTTATTCATAAATTTATAAAAATGCCTGTGAACAAGAAAATTTAAATAAACACATAATGATGTGTAACTGTAATTGTAAATTTTGAAACAAATGCATTTTCTGGACATTTCTTTCATTTGCTCTCAACACATAAATTCACTAAAATAGTTTACATAGTTATTTATTACTAGCAGTAGAGGCTGACGTTGCCCGGAGATGTGACAGTAAGAGATAGATCGAGTATCGACCATCATAAAGACTGAAAAATAAAATTGACAAAGATTATTGTTTGAGGTTGATGGACACGCATGTCTTAATTAGTTTTTTTTTTTTGTTTTTTTTTTTTTTTTACAAATTGGTCAAACCCAAACTCAAACAAAAACATTGTTTTCAATCATTATGAGTCTACCGATTGAATAGAATTTTTCAATTTTATTATAAACAATTGTCTTGTAAATGGAATTTTTAAAGCATTCTGAATGTAAAAATAAAGAAAAAAGTGTGCAAGACAATAAGAAACACTACCTGCCAAAAAAAAAGTGAAGTTAAGTTTGTTGAAATCGGTTGAAAAATGTAGGAAATCCAATCTCATATATAAATGAACACACACACACACACACACACACACACACACACACAACCTGGGTTTTATAATAAGTATAACTTGATATGAGTTGTCCCCCTTTCATTCTTGCGACAGTGATGCCTCTTAATTGTGTTTTCAAATTGATTTTGTGCAAAAACAATTGTTTTTCCAATTTTTGGCACTGTCAGAATCACCGCAAGGTAATTTTACGTAGTCCTGTGAAGTTTTGTTGAAATTGGTTGAAAAATGTATGAAATCCAATCCAATATATAAACGAACACACACACACACACACACACACACAACCTGGGTTTTATAATAAGTATGATAAAAATATTTGTAAACTAAAGAACAAGAAAATTTAAATAAACATAAAACGATGTGTAACTTATTATAAATTTTGAAACAAATGCATTTTCTGGGCATTTTTGTCATTGCACTTGATGCATAAATTCACTAAAATAGGTTGTCAGCATTTCAACCTCTTTCATATTTTGATAATTCTGTAATTTTTTTTTTTTTTCTATAAATTTTTGAATAAAAAGATTTCTTTTCAAATGTATTTCTTTATAAAATCTCAAATAATTGTACTTGGTTCACATATTTTTATAATTTTGTAAATAAACATTGCTGGGGGAAGTCAAAGCTGTATACAATAATAGCAGTGTCAAGGGAATAACTGTCCTTTTGACACCCTGTTTTTTTTGTTTATTTTTTTTGCAGGCATGAAGATTAAACATCACCTACTTCTTTTTGTATTTAAAATTTTCAACATTTACATAAATTCAAATACTAAAAAATTAATTTGAATCTGTTAAAATTTTAAGAAATTGAAATAAAATATAGTCAAAAATTAAAATTAACTTGAATTATATCCCAATTAAGGCACATTTAATACGAGCTAAATGACACAAGAATAATAGAAAGTTCCAGTTGTAACTAAAGATGTTTATGCAAATGAATATATGTTTTTAATTATTTATATTTTTATATATTTAATTCTTCTTTCTTTTTTGTTTTGTAGCAAACAGTCTTTGATAGCCACAAAATGGGAAAGAAGTTATTTCTTTACCCAGGGAGGAAATCTTATGTGTCAGACTAAAGATGAGGTATGTCTTTCAGCTCATTTATTTCATATGTCATGCTAGATAGTCTTTCTCACTAGAATCTATATTACGCATTTATAAGTCTACCATTCATTCATGCATTGAATATTGCTGTCATATTTAGTCTGGTGTTTCTGCTATATATTTAGAGATTCTTGATAAAATGCAAAGAAGAATTGACAATATTATTGGTCCTGTCCTGGCATCTCAGCTTCAGTCATTTTCCCACCACTGTGCCTTTTAATTAAATATTTTCATAGTAATTGTTCTGATGAACTTTCCTCTTTGGTGTCTAAATTTTATGAAGTTGACTGTAATACTAGGTTGGTGGTAAGGGCTCATCATTTTACGGTGGAAATGGTGAGATGTAACTGTAAGTTCTATGCTAACAGTTCCTTCACTTTTTGCTTGTTTTTTTTGTTTTTGTTTTTTTGTTTTTGCTTGTGGAACTGTCTTCTGACTTAATGCTTTCCAGTCAAGTTTGATCTTCAAAAATTTAAGTGTAATGTCAATCGTTATGTTCTGTCTTCTTAATTTCTGTTCTTTTATTGTTCTCGTTCCTTAATATTTTCTTTTTCTCATATCCTCTCACATTCAGTAACCCCTTGCATCTTAGTGGCTTTATTGCTTTGCTTGGGGTGAAATGATTACTAAAACTTATTTGCTTAATGAATAAAATCTCAGGAAATTTTTGAAAAATTATTTTAATGAATGATTCCTCTTTCCCTTTTTTTAGTCACACGAAAAAATTAATAAAAATTGAATACCAACACTGTAGAGAAATTATAACTTCTTCAAAAGATCTTTGCAAATAGCATATAATTCTTCTCTTATGTGATGTAAGCGGGCATGGCTCTCCACAAGTTCTTGTCTCTTGTTGCTTTAAGTAATTTTCTTTTACCCGTTACCATTCTCCTTTGTTTCTATTCTGCTATCTATTCTCACAAACTTTTTAAGTAGGTTACTTGCTGTTTTCCCCATCCTCTTATTTTCAATGTCCTGTGAATATTACATTCTATAGGCCTTCTTTCCTCATTATGAGTCTTTCTGATTGTAAGTATATGTTTCTTTGTCGCCAACATTTTCTGTTCATGGTATTCTTAGCATTTGTCAGTAGAACTATACTTTTTGTTGCTTCAGGTCTCTTTTTCTTCTCCTCTGAGGAAATTGTCCACTATTCACTGTTGTATAAAAGATTAGTCATTACATAAGCAGTTCAGCATTTTTTTTTGTTTTGTTTGTTTCTAACAATATTTTCTTCTATTACATTTTCCATCTGTAGTGATACTAGCAAATTAGTATGTATAATTTGCATAGGCAGAAGTGAAAACTCATATAAGTGGTCACTGAGAGTAACCACCAGTAGTAAGAGTCTAGCGACTGATTAATGCTAACCTCTACTTTACAACAATGGCGTCGCCGATAGGATTACAATTGTCTCTGGAAGATCCAGAATATGTCGATACTTGGATTCGTTGCTTCTCTGCCACTGCGAGAACAAAAAAGTTGAAAGACAAGAAGGAAAAGGGAGGCGAAAATGAAATCACGGATTTATTTTTGGCTACAGCTGGATGCAAGGTGGTAATGAAAGTCTCCACCATGGCATATCCCTTAAATTTGGAAGACCTGACTTTCGAAAAAATAAGTCAGATTATAAAAAAAAATATGAGACCCAAGAAAAAGGCTGGTAGTGGCAGAAAGAACGAAATTCATGTCAACGAAACAGGAAATTGAACCAATTATAAAATATTTACACCGTCTCTGAAATGCAAATAGATATTGTGAATTTGAGAAACTTCGGACAAGACGAACAGACCATTGAAGAGGACTTGATTCAATTAAGACTAATTGAAGGTATGTCCAATGCGTCACACCGATATAAAATAATGGAACAATTACAAATAGGAAATATGTCTTTAAATACATGTATTGATATTATGCAGCAACAAGAACTAATACAGACATACCACCATTATAAAAGTCAACCCACTGAACAAAGGTTCGCTGATACATACGCGTTAAACAAGATAAAAAAGTGTTCGTATTTTGGATGTGAACACGAAATGAAAAAGGAAAAGTGTCCAGCATTTGGGAAAACTTGTAATAATTGCTTAAAAAAGAACCACTTTCAAGCAGTGTGTAAATTAAAAAAGAAAAAAGTTGAAAGAGTAGAAGAAAACGACACCGACAGAAGTTTTTACTGTGAAAAATAAGACTATGGCACAAAAGAAAAACGACATTATAGTAAAGGTTAAAATTAATAACTGCAATTTAGATATGCAAATGGATACTGGGAGTGAAGTAACACTGATACCAAAAAATTTTTGGAACACATTGGTAAGCCACCTTTATGAAAAAGCAATTTACAACTCCGCCAGTTTGATGGGTTGGTTATAAAAATATTAGGATACTTTGAAGGTTCATTGGAGTTAAAAGAAAAATTTGAAGTAATTCCTGTAATTGTTACAAGTTGCAAGAAAAACTATGGCCTTATTGGAAATGGCATGCTTAATATGAATTCTACTAAGATAATTAATGAAATAAAAAATGAAAAACTGGAAAGTTAAAAAACTATGAAGCAAGTATAAAAGTAAAAGAAAATGTTTCCCCCTCTTATTATGAGGCATGAAAATTACCAGTACATTTATTGCCGTTAGTAGTGACAAAACTACGTAAAATAGTAGAACAAGATCTTCTAGAACATGTTCCGTCTGGAGGTAGCAAGTGGGCATCACCGATTGTGGTTTTTAGGAAAACAGATGGTGATTTACGTATTTGTGAAGATTATAAAATAGGAGTAAATCACAAGATATGCTCGGATTCATATCCCATACCCAATGTGGAACTTGCATTACATGCACTGGCAGGGATGTCGTTTTTTTCAAAAATAGATTTAAAAACGGCATACCACCAAATACCAATAGATGAAAACTTCAAAGAAGTAACCATGATAAATACGCCAATAGGGTTACTAAGATGGAAAAGAATGCCATATGGTATAAAAACTGCAAGCGCCATATTTCAAAGGGCCATTGAACAGGTTTTAGGAAAGGTACAAAATATGGTTTGTTACCAAGACGACATATGCATAGGAACTACTAATGAAAAGGAATTAAAAGAAAAAACTGATTTAGTCTTGAATAGATTAAGGAATGCTGGAATGACGATAAATGAAAAAAAATGCATAAGCAATTCTAACAAAATATCTTTTTTAGGTTATTCCATTTCAAAAGAAGGTATATCACCAGACCAAGCATAGAAAAATATTAAAAGTAGCTACATCATCAAATACAAAAAAAAAAGTCTTTTTTGAGATTGGTAAATTTCTACAGGCAATATTTACCAAAATACACGGACTTGATGGAACCGTTTGCAAATTTAAGAAAAAAGAATGTAGAATTTATCTGGTCAGGCGAACAGCAGAAAGCTTTTGAAACATTAAAAGAAATAATGTCAAAGAAACGTGTAGTGAAAATTTTTGATCCAAAAAAGGACATAACACTCACTACAGATGCAAGTGAACATTCAATATCGGGAATATTATTGCAAGAAGGGCATCTGATAATGTATTTGTCGAGAAGATTAACGAACACTGAATTTAATTACTCAAACATAGAGAAAGAAGCATTGGCTATTGTGTGGACAACTACCAGAGCCCGACGATTTTTAATTAGAAAAAAATTTCTGTTAAGAAGTGATCATAGACCATTAGAGCTTATATTTAACCCAAGGAAAGAATTACCCAAAGTTACGACATCAAGGATTCTACGATGGGCGATAAGATTGATGGCATTTGACTTTGATATAGAGTATGTCAAAGGAAATTCAATTCCACATGTGGATGCACTATCAAGGTTGAGGTTTTACAAGGACTCAGAAGACAAAACGGAGGAAGAATTTGAATATTCGTTTCTACACTTGATAGAGACTGATGTTTTGTCTTTAGACAGAATGGCTGTGGAAACGAGACATGATCCGGTGCTAAGTAGGATAGTATCGAGAATAAGAAAAAATTTATGGGGAAATTGTTCTAGGACGGAAAGACCTTATAAAGAAATAAGGCACAAATTAACAATAGAACATGGAGTGGGGAGCTGGTAGTTCCCCCAGAAACACAAAGAAAGCCGATAATAGAAAGTGTACATAATGATATACACTGTGGAGTAGCAGCCACTCATTCATTACATTTTCTATGGCATTTATGTAACAACTACTGCCTGCAAAAGACACCCAACATTGCCACATCTGCACAAGACAATGTAAATCCCCAACAAGATTAAAAAGTCATATCCACATTGTCCACATTTGAAGATAGATCAAGCGATGACACTGCTTGAAATTAAGTGTGCAGCCATCATGCATGTATTTGCATGGATCGGCAGCATTGGGGGAAACTGACTTTGAATCAAGTGGAGGCAATTTATATGGCTCTTTATATGCAATGCATTTGAGGATGAATATCTCTGGCATGATCAAATCAAGCATGATTTCCGAAGAGGCACTCTGATTTGTCATCTAATATGCAGTCTTGGAAATGTGATGTGCGTCACTGCATGCTGTTATAGAGGGCAGGTTATGTAAACCAGCTGAAGGTTTTCATAACAATCAGAAGCAAGCCAACTTTGCCAACCAACCTCATCGACCTGCCAACAATACCTGTATAGTTTGCAACAAGGTTTGCAGATCATCATTTGAACTGCGAATGCACATGGTGATACACAGGAGATTTGTAGGGCATGCAGATTCAATCAACCCAATCAAGGATACAGGGTTTATCTGTCACAAATTCATGATACCTATGAAATTAAAAGCTGGTTTTAAGAGTCATCTTAGAACATATTTAAACAAGATTTTTTTCTTCTGTCAGTTGTCATTAAAATCTCCTGCTGCTGCACGTAACTACAACGATCTGGATCTCATTTGACAAATCTTGACACACTTGCCATCATAGTAGGTTCATTTATTTTATTTTGTGTCTTGTTCTGTATCAAATGTTGAAATTACTGCACACAACAAAAGTACATGAAAATTAAAATAAAATAATTGTATACAGCATCTTAAGGGCCATGGATGCTGAAATGAGACAAATGCCATTACATTCATGATGTATGTGAAACAATCAACAATTATGTATATAAAATAGAGGACAAGATTTATACTGAAACTTGCATATGTTTTAGTTTGTATATCCACAAACTTTGCAAGAAATACAATATTTATATTCCAGCGTTATATAATAAAGCAATTAAAAATGTTTATATATTTAAATTTGCCTTTTATTGGGAAAATAAACTTATCGACTGTACATGCTTATAAATAAAAATGGCATTAAAATTAAGTATCTGAATAGGAAAGTTAACGTAATAAATCACTGATCTATATGAGAACCAAAATATGTTAGCATTGTGTAATATGGTTTGTGTTTGCATACATACATAGCTGTATATTTTTGTTAGGAAGGACTAGAATTAATCTTGTAGAAAGGAAGGTGGATCCTGCTTGATGGAGGATTTGTCATAATGATCTGAAGTAAGGTTTTACAAGGCTGGATGCTCTTCCCAGACACTCACAGTACATTAGGTATTTTTATTGCGATATCATCTCTAGGAAGGTTATCCCATCCTAGCCTTATATATATATATATATAATGAATCATTCATACAAAAAGTAAATTAGTAAAGTTAATGATATAAAATGTCAAATTCACTTCCCTAACTAAATTTTAAAGATGCATTAACCCATTAACTACTCAATGAATGTTATGATCCTTGTTTTTTAAAATTATGAACTGTATTAGGTCTTACTAAAATATGCAAGTTCTTTCGACGGGTTCTCCAGTCATCATCAGACATAGAAACTATTTTGTTTTTAGCAAAATTCAGGTAGCATCTGAGACAAAAACATAATGCAAATCGAAATGTTTTTTTGAAGTGTGTTATTAATAACAGATACAAACTTGTGGAGTGTGTAGTCGCAATGCTAAGGTTGAATTTTTGAAAATTAAATTGAATTTACTAATATGGCAATTTAAGAATTTTTTTTTTTTTTTGTAGGTATTTATCAGTCAACATGACATGAACTAAATAGTTCAATAAGTAGAGCAGTGTCTCAGTTGTTTTCCTGAAAATTTACACACACACACGCACACATATATAACAGAAGTTTGACAGCACAGAAGCTATACATAGATTTGAAAATGCAGGAATACATTATTCTTAAAGGATCCTTTTCAACCAACACTTCGTCAGATGAAAACATTCGTAAATATTGACAGAATAACAATTTGAACTGTGAGAAAAGAAAAATATAAGGAGTAGAAAAAGAGAAACCATGACTAAAATACAAATTTATTAATAAAAATATATATATATATATATATATATATATATATATATATATATATATATACACACACACACACACAATGGATACATTATCATCTAAATTATGCAAAAATGAAAATAACAGTGACATCTCATTTTAAGATATATTTACTGAAATTACACAAAAATATCTTGAAATACTTAAGAGTTAATTTATTCAATAAAATTGCCATTGGCTTCAACCACAGCCTCCAGACAACTTTGGAATTTCATGCAACTCTTCTGGGTGGTCTCTTTGTTTAAGTTGGTGAATGCTGACATAATTCTTGCCTTCAGTTCATCTTTGGTGTTACAAGTTAATCTTTGGTCTCTTGCTCAACTGCGCCTCACGCATAATAATGAAGTGGGGTGCAGACTGGGTGGCTAAATGTAAGGGGTGATGTGGTCACAAAAATTGTCTGACAGCCATGATTAGGTTCTCCTGCTTGTGTGGGATGGTGCAAAGTCCTGTTGCCAGACACAGTCTTCCAGTAGCCACCCTCTTGATACAGTGCAGCACTACCTTCTCAAGGCACTTGATGTAGGCTTCCATATTGAGTTTGAGTCCCTGTGGGAAGATGAATGGAGACATAATGTTTCTATCACTAGTGATCACTACAAACACCTTCATAATCAGCATTAGACTCATCCAACTCTTTTCGAATCACTCTTTCTGAATCCTCTGCACTGTTCTCAGATTGGCACCTAAATACTCTGGAATGTTTGTAGTGGTGCTTCCAGTGTGAATGCCAAGCAGCACAGTGTGCTGTTTCCAAATTTCTGGCAGAGCGAATTGCATCATGGTGCTCTTTTTCTCACAGATGGTGCCCAACTGACCCTACTATACTGTGTAGTTGAGAAAATCAAAAACAAACGATGCGCATTGTTGGGCATTACCTGTGAGAAGATTTGAAGCCAATGCCAGTTTTATTGAATAAATTTACTCTTTAGTATTTCAAGATATTTTTGTTTAATTTTGGTAAGTATCTGTTAAAAATGAGATGTTAGTGTTATTTTAATTTTTGCGTAATTTAGACTACAATTTCTCCATAACACCCTGTGTGTGTGTGTGTGTGTGTGTGTGTGTATATATATATATATATATATATATATACTCTCGACTCTCCCGTCAAATTCGACGTATGAGGGTCAGGAGGATCAGTTCCTAGGAAACTGACAGCCCAACAACAGCACATGAGATTTGATTATAGTGGTGAAGGTTTTGTGCAGGAGCATCCACACTTTTTGAAGGGCCGAATACAGAGACCTGGTGCCCTAAGTGCCACAAGGTCCCCAAACAAACCTCTGCAGATTTTGAATTCAGAGTTGTCCTTCTCCTAGACCAGTTGCCATCCAAGGCTATAGAACCCAGTCTGTCCTGCTATTTACCCATAGCTGGAGGGAGAAGAGGATTCACACCTTTCCCAAGGGTATTAGCACATAAGTGAATGTAATGGATTTGACTGGAATTCGAACTCGGTTCTCTGATTCCTCAATCCATGCCACTATCCATTACTCCACCGTGGCTCCTATATATATATATATATATATATATATATATATATATATATATATATATATATATATGTGTGTGTGCACATGCATATGCACACACAAGTTGCCTTCTATAAGAAATTCATCCACCCTTCGACAGGTCTTATTTTTTAACCTGTGTGGTGACCTGCCACCCTTCTCATCAGCAGAAAAGCTAGTGAGGGAGCTAGTTTAGAGGCCAACCACCATCTGTCCATGCATCAGATTGTACTGGGTTACATCTTACCAGTAGCATGTCTAAACCTGACCTGACCAAAAAGTATAAACTAGCAGCCAAGCCAAACAGACTATAGATAAATCAATACAACTGCAACTTTCATTGCTGTAATTTTTAGTTTTAATGAACAGCTCAGTTGACTGGTGTTCCAATTTGTAAGCAAACATAATCAATGTCTTTAGCATTTTGTTCAGTTAATTTTCTAACTCAATTTCCTGATTGTATCAAAGTCTGAAATGTCCTTGAAAATTTGGGTCAATATCGATACCTTCTTTTCAGTAAGATTTTGGAATTGAGATTGATATAATTTCTGTTGTTTCAAGACAGCTCCATTCAAAAATCCATTGCTGTGGTATGCTAAAGTAGTAACGTTTCATTCCCTGCTGTTCACCTTTTCTTGCCAGGCAGCTCCTTCCTGAGATCTGTTTTATGGAACACTCCCGAGAGGTTGCTTCCCTGATCGCTACAATCTTAACCTCTTCAAGTCTATTGTCAACCATTATCTTACACATCCTTATAATCTGCTCTTACATCCATACAACAACCTAATTCAGTACCTCTCTACTTTGAGTGGCTTTTGGGTCTTGTTTGTGTGAATATTTAGTTAAAAAAAATAAAAAGTTAACCTTACCTATTCTGTTGGATAAAGCCTTTAATTCCTTGCTCTCACATGAAAGTATTAAGATTGCTTTTCAAATTATTTAAAAAAAAAAATTTGTTATTTTGGTGTACTATTAAGAAGGGAAGAGGATGAAGTTGTTCTTTTAATAAGTGCTATGAAATTGGAATCCTATTTTGGTTTGTTAATTTATGTTTCAATCTTTATTTTTTATTCTTTAGGTTGCTGGAAGCCTTGTATTGGATTTGAATGATGATGGATTAGTTGCTGAAATTACTGATATTGATGATAGAAGATTTGGTTTAGTTATTCATGTCCCCCATTCAAAGAAGTATGTCTTTTCTATTTCAACACATACAGGATTTAAATATTTAGCTAAAAGTTGAATGTATATTATTCATCTTTCTCTCTGTTTCTTTCCTTTTTTTTTCTCTCTCCCTCACTTTCCTTTTTCTCTACCTTTCTCTTTCTTTTTTTTTTCTCTTTGTTTTTTTTTTTTCTTTCTTTCTTTTTTCTCTTTTCTTTCCTTTGTTTTCTTTCTTTTCTTTTTCTTTTTTTCTCTTTTTCTTTCTTTCTTTTTCTTTCTTTTCTCTTTTTCTTTTTTCTTTTCTCTTTTTTCTTTTTTCTTTTTTTTTTTTTTTTTTTTCTTTTCCTTCTTTTCTTTTTTCCTTCTTTTCTTTTTTCTTTCCTTTCTCTTTTTCTCTTTCCTTCTTTATTCTGTTTCTTTTCTTCCTTTCTCTCTCTCTCTTTCCATCCTTCCTTTCTCTCTCTCTCTTTTCCTTCCTTCCTTCCTTTCTCTCTCTCTTTCCTTCCTTCCTTTCTCTCTCTCTCTTTCCTTCCTTCCTTTCTCTCTCTCTCTTTCCTTCCTTCCTTTCTCTCTCTCTCTTCCTTCCTTCCTTTCTCTCTCTCTCTTCCTTCCTTTCTTTTTCTCTCTCTTCCCTTCCTTCCTTCCTTTCTTTTCTCTCTCTCCCCCTTCCTTTCTCTCTTTCTTCCTCTCTCTCTCTCCCACTTCCTCTCTCTCCCTTCCTTTCTCTCTCTCCCTTCCTTTCTCTCTCTCTTTCCTTCCATCCTCTCTCTCTCTCCTTCCTATTGTCTTTTTCTTTCTTTCCTTCTCTTTCTATCACTTTCCTTCTCTATCTCCTCCTTTCTTCCCCCTTTTTCTTCCTTCTTCCTTTCTCTCTCTTTCTTTCCTTGTTTGCTTCTTTTCTTTCTTTCTTTCTTATATTTTTGTGAATTCTTGGATTGAAATAGATTTTCAATAAAAATTTTATATTTATGATTTCTTCTTTAAAAATGTTTATATTAACAACAGAATATTTAATTTCCATTGTCTTCAGACAATTGAATGGAGTATGTCAATTGCATGTGCATTTAAGATCATTTGTAACTTTAATTCAATGATTATTTTGGTAATGTAAGGCAAGAGTTTGCAAGTTTTATGCGAGTGATTTTATTTCTGAATTCTTGGGCTGTGGGTACTTTTATTAATTTTTGTATATTCTTCCAGATGTGTTTATCTACAAGCTGAAAATGAGCGGGAAAGAGATGAGGTGAGAAAAATATTTCTTACATTGCTTTAAATTTCCTCTTTTTTTGTTTTGTTTTATATATAAAAAAGGAAAAGACCATTTTATTGTTTGTTTTTTTTTAATAAGTAGGCATTTTTAAGTGGAACTGACAAAATTCCCAAGAACAACAACAATAAAAATAAAAACAGAGAATGGTAAGAAATGAATGATAAAATATCAAAGTAAAGCAATTAGAAGACAATAAAAAAGAAATGAAAGACACAGTATTCATACATGAACAGGATAGAGTCAAGTGTTTATAGCCTTCTAACTTCAAGGCAAAAAAGAAAACCAGTGTGTGAGTAAGACCAAGAATTGTTCATTTTATTAACCAAGAAGAAATCCCAGCATACATCTAATTTCGGAGGAGGGGATTTTTATCAGATTGGGATCAAGTTTTTTTTTTTTTTTTAAACAAAAAAAACAACTGAAAATTAAAATATCAAAAATTCAATATTTTTTTGCTACAACTCATTGTTTACACTATTTACATTGTTTGGACTTTGTTGCCATATTCACAACGCCTCATCTTTGTTGCCATATTCACAACGCCTCAGCCTTCTTGATTAGAATTTCAAACTGAACACTTTATTTTGTCCACCGGGGTACACTGTTCTAGTTCCACTTGCTATGCCTCTTCCAGATATCTCAGTATCAGTTATCTCCCTTTAACTCAACTCTCCAAGTTTTTGTTCACCTCAGCTGTAGCTAGGTATTGAACTCACAACTCTTTGGGTCAAGTTACTGGATTCAACCAATGCTTTTATCCACTGGGCCATGTGTCCTTGAGGACATCAGCGTATGAGGACAACAGCCCAAACAATGTAAATAATTACAACACCTCATCTCAGAAATATAGATAGAACTCACTGTTTGTAAATTGTTACCTTAATAATTAAAATAAGATTGTTATATTACTAATCAATATAATCATGTAAATATGATTAGAATGAAATATTAAAATTAATAATAGCAATTTATGATGAATTTATATATATTTTATAATTAAGTGGCATAGAGAACTGAAATAGAATTATTTCACCATAACCCGATTTCTGTTATGCTTTACACCCAAAAATGTGAGTGTTTGTAGAATGCAACAGGATGTTTCAAAAGTCTATGTCACATTCTAAGAACTCTTATATCATGAACTACAAATAGTTGCAGGATTGAACTGTTACCATTTAAAAGCTAAGTGTCAAGTTTTCTTTTGTTAATTTAATTAAATTTAATTTTTGAAAACCACTCTGCCTGACAGATGGGTCAGATGTTCCGGACAGACTGATCATGTGTTCCTGCAATGGCCACCTAGGTTTCCAGATCTCACACCATATGACTTCTTCTTCCAGTGTGGATATGTGAAAGACCTCGTGTACCTATCTCTCTTTCTCAGAGATTTGAATGATCTGATGACATGAATAATTGAAGCTTTGCCAACCATCAACAATGCTATGCTTAGTTGAGTTTGGCAAGATTTGAATTATCGTTTGGATGTGTGTTGTGTAACCCATGGCGCTCACATTGAACACCTGTAAAAACCTGTATAGAAACATGGAAATATTAGCTTTCAGGAAATATAAATTGTGCTTTGATATCTTCAGTACTTATTAAGATATATAATGTTGTAATGTGACACAGACTTTTGAAATACGCTGTTTAATAGTATCTGAAACAAAAGTAAACATAATGAGACAATGAAGCAAATTTATTAATCACTCATTGCACCGGAGAGCATATGCTCTTTTTGGCTTCCTCAGGTTAGAATGAAAGAAAGCCAAAAGTATGCATGTGGAAAATACCTTGGGATCTCTGAGGATAAGTAGGAATCATAAATCAAATTAAATTATCATCTTCCAATGTCCTGTCTTAAGGGAGTGTCTGTCTGTTTTATCTACAGTGGGCGGAAACAAATATTTGTACACATACAAATTTTTAATTTATTGTATTTCCAACTAATGAATAAACGTACTTTTCATATAATTAACTGAACACAGATGCATAATAACTAAATATGCATTGAAAACAGAAAAAAAATTGATCGAATACAAATAAATTCCATTTATCCATCATAAATGGGTGAAAAAAATTATTCGTACAATGCAAATTTCAGATTTGAAATATATATAATGATCTTAGGCACACTGCAAAATCTATGAAGAAATGGCTTGCTAAAAATAATGTAAATATTCTGAAATGGCCAAGTCAGTCTCCAGATTTAAACCCAATCGAGAATCTGTGGCACTATTCAAAAATTCATATCCAATTGAGAGCTCCACCAAACATCCTGGATCTGAAGATCATATGCGAAGAAGAATGGAACAAAATACCAACTGAAATTAAGCAAATCATTAATTGAGAACTACAAGAAGAGGTTGGTTGCTGTAGGAGTGAATGGCTATTCTACAAAATATTAAATGAAGATTATGTATTCTTTTTTGTATTGTACAAATACTTTTTTCACCCATTAAAATGAATAAATGGGATTTGTATTGAATTAAAATTTTTCCTGTTTTCTATGCATATTTAGTTATTATGCATCTGTGTACAGTTAATTATACAAAAAAAGTATGTTTATTCATTAGTTGGAAATACAGTAAATTAAAAATTTGTATGTGTATGAATATTTGTCCACCCCTCACTGTGTGTGTGTGTGTATATATATATATATATATATATATATATATATATATATATATATATACTTGCACATATGTTTACATACATACACACCTTTGTGCATACTTGTACATACATGTATAGCAATATATATCTGTGCATACATATATACACATACATGCATCATTCTGGTGTCTTTTTTTTATTTTTTATTTTTTTTTGTCCAAATCTGTGAATTTTTGTTTATGCTCAAAAAAAAGAACACTATATGAAATTCACTAGTTTTTTATCCATAATGTTGAATATGTTAAAATTAAATTTTTAGCAAGGAAAATCTCAAGTTGATATCAGAAACTGACACAAAACATTGTTGATTTATTTAAAATAGAATGATCTATTATGACATGTCTTACGTTGTATTTATTTTCAATTTTTCTAATTGAATTGGTCACCTTAGTTGCATATGATCCATTATTGTACATAATTGCATTACAATAAAATTTGTATTTTATATGAATACTACTTTATGAAAATTGAAATGGGATGCCTCTATAGCAAAGATTCCTGGGGGTATCATACATTCTGTGGGGGTCAAGACTCTTGCACCAGCCCTGCTGAATACTGTTTCTTGTTTACACTGAAGACTATTTCTTTTTTTACTGCCTTATAATGGTATTAGTTTGCCATTGTCTTATAGTTGTCTTGCATTCTATTACAGTGTTCATTTCTTGTATTATTTTGCTCTGTTTTTATTTTTATTATTGTTGTTGTTGGGATTTTTCTCAATTCCACTGTCAACATAAAAAAATGACTTTCACTGGGAACTTATCTTTTATTATTTATAATTCATGCTGTTTACTCTTGGCTTGATGGCCTGAATAAGTTACAGTAGTAAACAACTAAAAAGTTAAGTTGAAAATTAAAAATAGTGTTGAACAACACTTCATCTAAAAATAAATAAAAGATAATATTAATGCATAGGATATAATTTTAAGACATTTTTATGTTTATACATTCTTTTTTATAGATACAAATATTTAAGTAAATGCTCTGTTTATAATAAATTCAGGCTGGTAAATGTTGTTAATACGGTTTATAATAAACAGAGCATTTACTTAAATATTTGTATCTATAAAAAAGAATGTATAAACATAAAAATGTCTTAAAAATAATGGTCGGACTTTGTTCATTTCATAATGTGTGATGTCATTTGTTTACATTTGGATACGCATCGAGCAGATATGAATGTACATGAGAAAATCATGGAAAATTGTAGTTTTAAAACAGTAAAATTGATCTTGCTAACCGAACGCTCCTCTGTGGCGAAATCAGTAAAAGCACATCAGGCTATATGACGGTTCCATATAGCATACAGGTTTGATTCCTGTTGGAGGATGCATATTTTCTCTGACAATTTCTCAGATATTCAGGCCGGTAAATGTTGTTAATACTGTTTGTTATAAACAGAGCGTTTACTTAAATATTTGTATCTATAAAAAAGAAAGTATAAACATAAAAATGTCTTAAAGTAATTGTCAGACTTTGTCCATTTCATAATATAGGATATAATGTCAATGATTATCTTCTGGCTTCTTAATTTCTGTTCTTTTATTGTTCTCTCTCCTTAATGGTGTTTTTTGGTTTTTCTCATATTTATTAACATTCAGTAACCCATTGTATCCTAGTGGCTTTATTGCCTTGCTTGGAGTGAAATGATTTAAAAAATATATAAGTATATTTTGTTATTGGAGAACTTAAACCTGGTCATGCTAATTGTTGTAACCTAGAAAAGGTTACTGAACGAGGAATAACTAAAACAGAGGTTGGAAATGAAATGGTAATCTTTATAACATCAACAAAATACAATACTCACCAGTGGCATGAAATAGGTGAACTACTGCTAGTGGTGAACTACTTAGACAGCATATTACCCCCCCCACACACACACACACACACTTAGACTCCCATAAGGCTAGCTCTGTCCTCTTCAAACTATATAACTACTGCCTCCATGACTCTTGCTCTCCAGCCTGTTGAAAGTCCTCATCTGTTGTACCTGCCTTTAAGCACTCTGGAGACCCTTCTGACCCATCTAACTACTGTCCTATCAGTCTCCTACCACTCTTCGGCAAAGTCTTTGAATCAATGTCAAAGTGGTTAAGCACTTTATGTCCTATGATCTCCTCTCTGACAAGCTATATAGTTTCTGCTTTATCCAATCTACTGCTGATGTGCTCACAGCCATAACTGAATTTGTTTATCAAGCACTTCACAATAACAGAGAAGCTTGTGCCGTGGCTCTAGATATCTCTTAAACATTTGATAGGGTTTGGCATGCTGGCCTTCCTCATAAGCTTCAGGGATACAGAATTTCAGGACAATTTTTTGACTTAATACAATCATTCCTGTCAAACTATGTAATGAAGGTCGTCCTTAATGGCTTATCCTTCAGTTCCTTTCTCACGAACACAGGTGTTCCCCAAGTCTCTATCCTGGGCCCTACACTGTTTCTGATCTTCATTAACAATCTTCCTGATGTCATCAGTTCCCAAGTAGGTATCTATGCAGATGACACTACTATTTACTCCTATCTCAATAGCAATTCCAGCATTGCTGACAAAACTAACATGGCCGTTGGTCTTGAAAAGGACTTCCAATCTGTTGTTGACTGGGGAAAGAAATGGCTGGTTAACTTTAATGCCTCAAAAACAAAACTGGTCTCTTTTACCCACCACAGAGAACCTTCCCTGTCTCCCATTAGAATGTCTAATGCTCAACTCCACAAGAGTACCTCTCTGTGACTGCTTGATCTCACACTGTCCACTGACCTGATATGGAACAAATACATTGAATCAATAGCTTCATCTACCACAAGGAAAGTTGGTTCTCTGTGCCGCACTAGAAAGTTTTTCTCACCAGAGTCCATCCTTTGCTTCCTTCTGTCTTTTCTACAAATACTTTCATGGTAACTACCCTGACAAGCTACTTTCGCTGGTTCCCAAACTGCATGAATTTAAACATGCTACTCAGTTGTTATCTCAGTCACACCCTCTCACTCTCAAAACGGTTAAATGTAGCTGTTTCTTGTACTCCAATAGCTTCATGTCTCACACTTCCCATCTGTGTCAATTGACATTACATTTAAATTTTTGAAGATTATAGTTATCAGGGTTGCTTCAGGGTTAGAGGAAGGGAGTTCCACTGTCAAGAACTGTGGGAGAAGCTGTTGGAGTAGAAGAGGTGGTTACATTTTAACTGTTTTGACAGTAAAAGGGTGGGACCAAAATGCCAACTTAGTAGCACACTTAAATTCAATCAGTCAGTTTAAACTGATGACAGAAAAATATACATTTATGTTCACATTGAAAAATCTGTTGTAATAATTTTTGTCAATATTTTACAAAAATGAAATTAAAAAGTGAATCATTTTGTTTTTATCTTCAGTGGATTTCTACTGTAAACAACATTGTACGGAGTGGCAAAACGAACAAAGTTAAAACTACAGAGACGGCCAGCAAGAAGAGCAAGGTAAGTGATGTTTACTTTTTACTTTTATCTCTTTTGAATTTCATATAATGACAGTAATTAGAATTATTTCTTTGACTTTGAATTATTATTCTGGATTATAGAATGTAGTACATGAATTATTATCCTGGATTATAGAATGTAGTACATGAAATGTGAAAATAATTTTTAGATAATAAAAAGAAAAAAATGTTTGCTTTTGGAAGTGATTTCATTCTAAAATTACTTAATGGTCATCTGTATGTTTGTGGATGGGAAAATACAATATGAATGAAGTGTGCTTTTAAAAAATGGAGTACCTGTTTTAAATATTACTCAATAGGGGTTACTACAAAGAAAGAAGAGAACAAAAAAAAACAAACTAAAACCCATTTTATCTACGAGTAGTGGTTTATCCCTTGTTTTCTTTTTAGGATTGGGTTTCCAGTTCCTCCTAAATATCTCCACTCTGAACTCTGAAATTTTATTTATTAATTATTTTATTTTTCTCCTCAGTAGGTATAGTTAAGCCTGCCTATTGCATGGTTTGCACCTTACCTTGGTCTTTTGAACAAGAGTAGAGGTTTATCCCTTGTACTCTGTTTAGGATTCAGTTTATTCTAAAGTCTTTTCATTCTCTTTCACTCCCAGTTGCCCCTTGCATCTTAGTAGCATTATCCACTTGTTTGGGGTGAATTGATTAAAAGAAAAATGCATATAGTATTCAAATATCTTAAACATAGGATATTTATTTATCTACTAGCAAGGTGTCATCAGATAAAGATGTGTTTTAGAATCCATATTCTTTTGAAGAGAATAAAAAAGCAATGAAGACAAGTTTAAGCCTGAACCATTTATTAAACAGGTTTCTCTTTTTCCTGAATGAGAATGAGATGTGTGTTAATGTTCTGGTTAAGTTCTGCTTTCATCACTGCAGCTCTTTAAAAAAAATTGTTTGTGTTTAATGGAAAAAAAGTTAACTTGTTTACTTTTATTTCTGAATTGTATATTTGCTTAGGGAACGAATGTGAAATGTGTGTGTGTGTGTATATATATATATATATATATATATATATATATATATATATATATATATATATACACACACATTTGTTAATTTTTATGTTTTTCTTACATACATGTCTTCTTTTCTGGACTTAATAAAAGTAAACATTATCCAAGTGTTTAAATAATAGTTTAGCAGACTATTATTTTTTAGGGTAAGTGTATTTCTGCTCAGACTTTCTCAAATTGACCCTACAGGGCAGATGGAAGACAAAATAAGGAAGTTGATTTTGATTGGCTGAACGAACATGGGAATGATAGAAATATAGAAAGGTTTTTCAGGGAGTTGTTTCTGAACCGTCAAGCAATGTAGATGCGTTTTCTTTATGTCTGAAATGGCTTCCCAGTTGTGGAGAGCGACCTAACTGATTGCTTTCCCATCAACTACAGGTGTAATATGCCAAGTGGGGAAAGAGACGGGATGTAGCAAGACTAACACTGCCTTGAAAACCACAGCAATTTGAGGAACAAAAATGCACACAAGACTGACTTCATAAGACACTGTCTTGCCAACTCCTGATTGACAGTTTTTTCCCTGCTTTTATTGGTATGAGGCATTTTACAAAGACCTGGATCTTGACCAGTTGCAGAGAGGCCCATATCTAGACATGCCAAACTGTCCCACTGTTAATGGGAAAAACATGGATGTAACTGTTGTTGGCAGACCTGATTGTATGCAATCTCTGGTCACTTTTGCATCTGTACTGATGCATGTTCGCCACACTCAGTCAGTATATAAATGCTAGCCATTTTTTCCATTTTGGACATAGTAGTTACAAATGATGAAAAAAAAATGGATTTATTATAAGAATACTAAACAAATTCATGGCCAGATCCTGGTCAGCTTTCAACCTCTTAACCTAAATGAAATCTACTATGGCAAAATAGTCATATTCTTTGCATCAGATTTTATAAATGAGAGAAATGTATTAAGTTGTGGTTAGTTAAGCAAGACTTAGAGATATCACCCACCCAGAACAATCTACATGCTACTGGTGCCCGGTCACAGGGTTTGAGAAATAGCCTATTGTTAATGTAGGGAAACTTGCTGTTGGCCTGATCCAGAGAAATCCTAGATATCTTGGGCTAAGAGGTAGTTTGAACAAAAGATTTGGGGATTGAGTTACATATCCTTTGTTGGTTAAAAGTGCAAGGTTGAAACCAAAATCTTACTTGCAATTTTGTGGGGAAATAAAGCAAACTAAATAAGGAGCAGTTTCTTTTCTCTTGTCCAGCTTACTGCTTTCCAGTCAACTTTGATCTTCAAAAATTGAAATGCAATGTTAATTGTTATCTTCTGTCTTCTTAATTCCAGTTTTTATTACTCTCTCTCTCTCTTTATAATGTTTTCTTGTTCTCATATTCTTTCACACTCAGTAACCTCTTGCATCTTAGTGGCTTTATTGCTTTGCTTGGGATGAAATGATTAATGTTTTGCCTGTCCTGTTCATCACATGTGGTGCACATGAGCCATGAATTTAAAAGTGTGGTAAACTAAGGATGCTTAAGAAAAGTGTCTACTATTGAACAGTACGTCTGAGTAAAGGCCTAATCTAATGTTTTGTGCATCATATATGAGCACAGGACACTTGCCTGTTTTAAGATTTATAACTGTAAGGCAACTCAGCTTATTTGGCAAATAAAATGTGCTGATATATAGTGTTTCACATGATAAAAACCTGTGCATCACATTTAGATTGTAGTGTAAATAACTTATGATTTGTATGTTCTGTGCATCACATGTAATACACAAATTTTTATTATGTGAAACACTATATATCAACACATTCTATTTGCCAAATAAGCTGAGTTGCCTTGAGATAGTTATAAATCTGAAAACAAGTATGAATGTTTGGATAGTACATACAAAAAAGCTCTAGACAGAGGGTTAAAAAAAAATCAATGAAGAAAAATAGTCAATTTGTCAAAGTCAGAGCCTGGCACTTACTGGGAGTCATCTTGGGAACCCTTCAGTTCAATGACAAATAGCCTTTGCAAACCTAAGCTGAATTTTGCTGGCCTTACCAGTCACAGCAGCATCTGTCTGGTTTGTGAACAAGCTAAAAAAAACAACTTCTCTTTATCTAGGTGCAAAATTGAAATAATTTTTACCCTCCTGCTAAAGAGAGCATAGGTAGTAGGCAGAGGTGCAGCTCTATCCATAAAGATCACTCCTGCTACCTGACAGAAAGCTAACCACATTCTTCTTTCCCCACTTTGCTGTATAACCCAATAGTAAAATAGAAAAAACACACAATCAAAAACATACAGTGTGATCATCTGAAAATAAATTGGAATCATGGAAGTAGCTTTGAAAGATGATGTGTCATTTTCTTTCTATTTTTTATATTCAGCAGTTTTCAACAAGAAAGCAAATAGGAAAAAAAATCAAGTGTACTCACCTCACCTCCGAACCCACAGACTGCTTAAACAAAAATTAATCATAAAGTGGAGAGCTAAGTAATCCAATTGATCTATTTAAGCTGTCACTGACCATAGCAGTTCAGTAGATGATAGGGCAGTGGTCAGCATGGTTGATAGAGGAATATGAGGGCTTACATAACTAAAGGAAAAGATCTCTCTATTCAAAGCAAATCTTTTATTACAAATTGTTGGAATCTGAATAAACTGTTACTGCACAATACTATGATAACCAATTGGCTTGTTTGAATGACACTGAAGATAAAATAATTTTTTTGTCTAAGGAAGTTGGTTAGTGTTTTTGCTGCTTAGCAATGACTGTTTTGCTGCTGCAGATTCAATACAGCAAAATTATTATGGGACTGGAGTACAAAGTTCACTCACATGCATTATTTTTTCTAAACTTGTCACCTTCAGGTTATCACTTGTACAGCCAGCCTGGAAATCAAAGAATTATCAGGAATAAAGAAAATAATCACATTTTTCATTTTTTTTAAGAAAAATCAGGGAATTATCAAGCAATTTTGGTTTAATGTCAGGGAAATTATGGAATTTTCTAATGGAATTTAACATACATTGAATGACCTCTTTATTATGATGTTCGTTTTTAGATTGAAAATTATTTGAAAGTAAATGCTAAATGTTATTCATATGATATATATTTGTTTTCTAGTAAAATTTCACAATAAAAATGTCCACTTCTTTTAATCTTGAATGGATGGACTGAAGTATAAATAAACTTGATCAAATCATATTTTTAAAGTTTTCTTCTATGTGCCATGTCCTTTGGTGATCATGGCTCTCTACAATTTCATCTCCACTGTAGCTCTTAATGAATTTTGTCTCTTTGCTGTCTCTCAAATAGCCAATTTGTCAAATTCAAAACCTGGCACTTACTGGGAGTCATCTTGGGAACCCTTCAGTTCAATGACAAATTGCCTTTGCAAACTTTAGCTGAATTTTGCTGTCCTTACCAGTCACAGCAGCATCTGTCTGGTTTGTGAACAAGCTAAAAAAAACAACTTTATCTACATACAAAACTAAAATAATTTTTACTCTCTTGCTAAAGAGAAGCTCTCTACAATTTCATCTCTACTGTAGCTCTTAATAAATTTTGTCTCTTTGCTATCTCTCCTAAACCCTGTTCTGCCAACCATTTCCACAAGCTTGTTAGGTAGGTTATGTGCTGTTTTCCTCTGTCCCTCTTGCCTTGACTATGTCTTGCGAGTGTCAAATTTTCTAAGCCCTTTTTCCTCATTTTATGTTATATTGTATATGATGACAAAGTTTATATTCTACAATGTCGGTTTCTTTGTTCATTTCTCTTTTTTATCAATGTTGATAAATTTTTCCTACTGTCTCTCTGCATATCTGTTACACAATGTTCCCAAATCAGGGAAGTTCACTGGAATTTTATTCCATGATTAGTCTGAGAAACCTATTGTTTAATTCTTAGCAACAGTCTTTGAAGAGTCAGCAGTTCTAGCAAAGATAGAAAAATTAATAAAATCTTAAGTAGATATGTTCTTTTATAGTAG